CAGCCGACGCAGCCGAGCTGCTTAAACTGGAGACTTGACAACGGAGGGGAAAGGGATGTGGTTTGTCTGAGGTCGATCTGACAAAGGAGCTCTAACAATATCTGAAAATGGCCGTAGTGTATTCAAATGCTGCCATTCCTGTATCTGATGATTGTTGTCTGACAGGTTCTTTGTCTCTGCACATGCACCTCCTAAGTACCGTACATTACAGAAATATTTGTCATGCAGACAAAAGAACTCTGGAAAGGTACGAGGAGGCCTGCGGTTCCAACCCCCACGCTCATCACGAATCTGTCAGGAATGGGGCTCAGAATTGGGCCTGTGGGGATTAGAGCCAGTGAGAGGATAAAAAGGTGGTTTCTTGTGTCATGATTTGCTCTTGCAAGGCGACAGGGTGAACGATAAAATGAACTGCAGGTAAAAAGGAAAATTGCACGTTAGGAGACGGATGCACTTGATGCCGGCAAAAAAAGATTCAACTATTGAGAGAGTGTGAAAGTGTTGAAACGGGATAACTTGTGAATTTAGGTGTCAAAAAGATGTCACGGCAAAAGGGAAAAAGTGTGAACAGAGGAAGACTGTCACTCAACAGCTACAGACTGACTGCAGCACATTAGCACAAAGCTAATTGGTTAAATTGAGTTATAAATAACCGTTGAGTCTGTCAGGCCTGCGGGGAGGCAGACGTCCTTCTTTGTACTTTGCTGGGGACAGCCTGCGCCGGTTGTGCCGGCCGTGCTCGCGCTTCTTTCCTGGGCTCGTTCGTCTGCCAGGTAAGACGTGGAAACTTGTGCAGATAGCAGCGATTAAATCTGCCCGGGCTGTGAAGTGTGTTCGCTGACGTTAAGTTTATTCTAAACGAAGATGCGAAGGGAGATTGTACCAAACGCCAGTGAACCGGTTTGGGTTATCGGAGATGATGTGACCCGTAAGTTATCCGGCATGACTGTAAATTAGCAATCCGGATGAGTTTTTTTCCAACTATTTATTTGTTCATAATTAGAAGTTATCGCTTTTGCGTTGTGCACTGACAAGGAAGGTGATTTAAATTTTGCGAGTACGACCATTATTGATGTGAACAGAAGCAGGAGACAAGCAGGGAAGTGTTTGTAGCTTCATAAGTTCGGGTGACATTCCTAGAGATCCAAGATCTCAGTCTGGGGAAAGAAAGTGGAAATGTTATGAGTGTAACTGCTGGCAAATGTGTTTTTAAATACACAATCTTGGGATTTTACTTGTGAAAATGACTGGAAAGCCCGTGGGAAGCGTAGAAAACGAGGAATAAAAATAAAAACTAGAGCTCTTTATGAGACATGAGTTATATAAAAGAGAAAGTGGAGCTGGTAAAACTGTGTGGGGTGAAATGTGACCTCTGCTTAAAATGGGATGCTGAGCTTCTTTAAATAAAAGCATGCGGGCTTTCTACGCATCACCTAACTTCCTTTAAGAACGATTTGATGCTCGGCAGACAGTAGTTTCTGCCAGCGCCGGTTTGAGGTTAAAGAGGTTAATTGGACCTCACAGAGCTACATTTAGCTGTTGGCATGAGCTCATCGGAGAGCCTGATGTAAGAGGAGAAGCTTTGGGTTTCTGGTTCCTGCCTCGTTGGCTTTCAGGAGCGCACTTCTGCTGCTCGTGAGCATTAAATCAGAAGAAACGCGTCCGGGTTGGACAGGTAAACACAGACTGTGTTTGGTCCACAAATACAGCAGATACAGCCTCAGCAGGTTAAATTTAGACTTCAGTGTTCATAAAACACACGTTTATGCGTTTGCAGTAACGACACGGCGTTTTGCGGCAGTTAGGAGACGACAGCTTTTGAGTTTCACTGGAGCGCACCATGCTGATAAAGTCCAAGGAGTGTGACTGCTTATTATCGAACACCGGCTGTACTATTTCAAATGTAAATACTAGATTAAAACAGTTAAAAGGCTAAAAAAAAGTTAGGTTTTTGTTTTCTTCTTCTGATTACATTAATCTTAAATGCCATCTTTAGTTCTGTTTTTTAAGGGAACCAAATTGGTAAACTGCAGTAAATATATATAGTTGTACATGCTATTTTTCGTAAACACGGCGTACCTTTTCGTTTCTACGCCGATGACAGTGAAATTTACCGGTACTTCCCTCTGAAGCACTCTGGTGCGCGTTCTGTTTGACCTCTTCTTGACTGCCTGGCTGACATCAGAGATAGTATGGCTTTAAGTTTCTTAAATTTTAATGAGAAGAAGACAGAAGTCATGTTCTTTCACGTTCAACCTAATGGCACGATCAAGAACTACTGTATCGACCTTTCCTTTCTAGCCACGTTGGAGAAACAAGTACGGGTACTTGTTGTCACTAATCTGAGAGTGACGATGGACCCTTCCATGAAACTAAACAGTCTAAACTGAAGCCCATACTGTCCAAAAACAATCTTGAAACAGTAATACATGCTTTCAGAACATCCAGGCTTGATAACTGCATTGAGCTTCTTTTTGGCATCAGACCTCTATTGCACGTCTACAACTGGTTCAAAATGCTGCAGCCCGATTTTTTAACAGGTACAGGCAAAAGAGAGCACATTACACCAGTTCTGGCCTCCATTCACCAGCTCCCGGTTCACTTTCAAACTCATTTAAAAATCCTTCTGTATGTTTTTAAATCTCTGAACAGTTCTGCCCCTTCCTATCTCGCTGATCTGCTGCAGCCATATGTCCCACAGCGCTCTCGGAGGTTCCAGGCACTCGTTTTAAGCTCAGAGGTGACGGGGCTTTCTCTGTTGCAGGTCCTAAACTGTGGAATGAGTTACCACTGCATGTCAGCAGGCTCCCCCTCTCACTGTTTTTAAGTCTTGTTTAAAAACTCACTTTTATTCCCGGGCTTTTGACACTGAGTGAGTTGATTTTAACTTGTCCATATTCTTTAATGTTAGCTATTTGGTTCTTATCTTTACCTATTTGGATCTATGTATTTTATCCTGTGTCCTTTGCTTGTTTTGTTTTGGCTGTACAGCACTTTGGTTGGCCTTGTTGCTGTTTTAAGAGCTTTAGAAATAAAGTGGTGTGTTATGGTGTATATAAACTTGACTCATACATCTGTATAGACTCTTGGCACTCTGTTCTTGTTATGTAAGATTCAGAGTGTTAGTATCTAATAAATCAACATTTTGTTGGCCACTTTATTTCATTAACCAAAGTTTGTTTAGTTGTTAGGTTTTATTTTAGTTGAAGATTTTGGTTTGACAGTTTCAGCTCATTTCTAATAATAGCCCCGATTTTGAATAGAAAAAAACCCAAACGTTTTATTATTTTTGTTTGTTTCCAGCCTCTTATGGGTCCGGGAGGTTAAAGGTTTGGGTTGAATACAGATCTGTTCAGAACTTTGGGTCGGCATGAAGGCCAGGCGCTCTTCCTCCTGCAGAGAGGAAATAAAGGATCCATTAGTGGAGAAATAAAAAGCTTCCTGTGAGGAGAGGATCAGCCATGTTCAGAACACCATGTCGTGTTTGGTGAGAAGCAGCTGCAGTTCCGCTTTTGGAGGTTACATTAGGTCTGTGGTGTTCAGATAAGCCCCTCCAAAAAAGAACTTTAAGGCTATTAAAATTAACATTTTTCTGTTATGAAAACAGGACTGGCAGGAAAAACGGCTAAACCAGACGTGGAAAATGGAAAACTTAACTTTTAGGATGGTTAATTTCCAGTTAGTGCTAACAGATTTAACATTTTTCTACAATATGAGTGAATGTTTATCAAAGCTGTTCGACTTGTAGGTTACAAAAACCCCTCCATTAAACCCCCCCCTCTTGTAAAGTCAAACCTGGTTCCGTTGTGTCTGGTTGTACGTTTTTCCAGTTTCAGGGAAGCAGCTGGAGAAAGAATGCAGAGTGACACAAAACGCTATAAAAACACCAAAAATGTCCTTGCTCAATAATCCAGGTTTACAATCCAACAATTTTCAGTCAGGTCATCTGGACAGTTTTTTTTTTTTTTTTTTCTGAAACATTTCACCTTCCATCCAGAAGGCTTCATCAGTCAAGGAAACACACAACACAAAACTGATTCTTCCCCCAAACCGCTTACTCCAAAGTGGAACAAACCAGTTATGTTGGTGCTAAGATGGTGTCTTTGGTACGCCCCCTCCTCAGTTGCCGGTCCTCTTCCTCGTCGACAGTCATGTCAAACTGGTTCAAAACCAACAAAGTCCATGCTCAATAATCCAGGTACACAATCCAACAATTTTCAGTCAGGTCGTCTGGACAGTTTCTACACATTTTTAATGTTTCCAATGCTCGCGTGAACCTGCTGCCACCACGCACGTTCAGATTTTTATGTTCTTTGAATTGGGACAGAATCTGGTTTTACACTTAATAATAATAATAATAACTTTTATAATGCACTTTACATTCACAGTGAATCTCAAAGTGCTACAAAGAGCCAATAAATATTGAGCCAATAAATCCTCTATAAAATAATCTGAGAAGAAAGTAAACTGTTTGACAAACACAACGGATCCTCGTTTAAAGAAAGCTGTCCTCTCACTGGGATTTCCCCACACACCTCTAATCAGTCGTTCCTGGTTCGTCTCGATTTGCTTACGTCAAAGTCCCTGCTGCGTTCTGTCCTTGCTTTGGTGTTTTCAACACGGATAGCTGTTTCTGACACCCACAGATCCACTTTTAGACGGTAACGTTTTGTTTTACAACACCGCCGAGCTGCCTTTAGTAAATGTTTTATGAATGGGCTTTGGCATATAGTTGTGCACCTGGCCTTGGCTAAAGGGGAGGGTTTGTCCAATGTCTATGTGTGTATGTGTGTGTGTGTGTGTGTGTGTGTACGTGCACTACAGGGTGTGCTTTCCTTTAATGAATAATTATTCTTGTGGCCTTCGTTTTACCCAGTGCTTTGTTAGACCTGCTAAGAAACAAACAAAAAGAACAGTACGGGGCTTCAGATGTGTCATTTGCGCGACCACCCACACTTTTTAAATTCACGATGAGATGTTTTTTCTTTTTCTTTTTGCAGAGTAAGTCCTGGAACAAGTTGAAGAACATGGTCCACTGGTCCCCTTTTCTCGAGTCCTTCAAAAAGCAACGCTCATGGGTGCAGCTGGCGGGTCATGCAGGTAAGCTGCCATACTGTAGCCAAGATGTAAACGATCAGATTGATACAACAATGTTCAGTCGGGTCATCTGGACGGTTTCTTTTTTTTTTTGTGCCGAGACGATTATTGAGTATGAGCTTTGGTATCAGACTGATACCATCTGTCATCTGCTCAGTACAAACTTTACAACCATTAGACAGTTGGAATTGCTTATTGCTAACTATAAAAATAAAACATAAAAATGCTATAAACTGTATCAAACGGGGCAGTTTGAATGATTTACCGTACTCCAGTAGTTTTCCAGATACTGGCTACTGGCACATGCAATTCTGAAATGCGGGTATGCACTCACTGTAAACAAAGCGCTCGGCCGAATCTGATGAAAACCACAAAGAAGCTGAAGACACAAGATTTACCTTTTATTTAGCTGGTCGTAGTCTGTAGGTAAACGCATATGATAAAGTAGGACAAGCAGGAAAGACATGGTGGAACTTCAAGAATAAATCTGCAGCCAAGTGAGAAAGAAAAGCGAAAGCTCGGGGAAGACAACGCTCAAGAGTAAATATCGGGGCTCAGGAGCTCCTTGTCGAACACATGGGTTTTGTGAAACTTCTACCAGACCTGCACGTTTAGTTTCAACATTTTAACGCTCGTAACGTTTATAACGGGAGCCTTAATTTATCCCCATTTTGTTATATACTATATATGATCTACTTTCCTGAACAAATCTGAAGCCGCACCTCTGGTGTATGTGTATTATCTGAACACAAACAACACGAGGACTTAAACCTCGTGATTGCTGCTCAGTCTTGTGACTTTAAGTAAAAAAAAAAAAAAAACAGATAAGTCTGCTTAACTCAAAGTCCCTGCGTTGCTTTATTTTCTTTTCAAGGTAACTTTCAGCTGGAGGAGTACGGGCGGCTGTTGAAGCGGTACTGCGAGTGTGAGCAGCAGTGTCTGCAGAAGCTGATGAACGACATCCTGCAGCCCTTTGTGCCTGGATATTATGGTGTGGTGCAGAGAGACGAGCAGGACTACAACGTAATGGACGACCTGCTGGTTAGCTTTGACTCGCCCACCATCATGGACTGCAAGATGGGCAGCAGGTAGTGACAGTTTTCCAAGACCACACTGACTGTAGGGAGCGTTTGTTGCCCACGTTTTATCCTATTTATTTACAAGATATCGAGCGTAATCTTAAAATGTATTGAAATGCAGTAAAAAGGACAGGATTGAAGTCGGCGTGAACGAAAAGTGCCAAAATAAACGAGTCGTTTGCATCTCAGGACCTACTTGGAAGAGGAGCTTAAAAAGGCAAGAGAGCGTCCACGTCTGCGGAAGGACATGTTTGAGAAAATGATGGCGGTGGACCCCGGGGCCCCGACGGAGGAGGAGCGGGCTCAGCAGGGGGTCCTCAAACCCCGATACATGCAGTGGCGGGAGACGCTCAGCTCCACCGCTACGCTTGGCTTCCGCATCGAAGGCATCAAGGTCAGAGTTGGGTCTCTGTTAACATGCATGGATGTAGCTCCGTGTTGCTCAGGAGAGCAGAGCCCCGAATTGGGTTTCTACACGAAGTAAACGATTAGAGGGAGAAATCTGTTTGACGAGAAAGTGGAACTATAAAGCAGTGTTTGAACACGAGGCTGTTTGTATGGAAAAATCAACAGGCTGGTTATCAGGGTGTGAAATATTTAATTTGCATGCTTCAAAGGTACAAATGAAAATTTCTCCTGTGCCTTTTTTTTCCAGTCTAAATATGAAGTTGACAGACTCGTATCAAAATCTATTTTTTGTTTTTGATTTTCGTCTGAAGAAAGACGTGATCCCACGATTCTGTGGTGTCATTCAAAACCATTAGTTACTAAAAGGAATCATTTTCCATGTGTAAATCGGATTATCAACCCAACCCCGTCTCAATTATGTTTCTTTTTTCCACAGAAAGCTGAAAAAACTCGCAACACCAACTTCAAGAAGACGAAGCAGAGAGACCAAGTGATGCAAGCCCTGGAGGACTTTGTCGACGGCAACACTCAGATTCTGGTCGGTCATCAAAGAAATCGATAATCAAAGGGCAGGAAATATAAAGAAAAACGGGAGCAATGTTTAAGCATGTCAGGAAACAAGTATCTTAGTTTTTTTCATTCATTCAGCCTTTATTTATACAGGTTAGTCTCACTGAGTCACGAGGACTCATTTACAAGAGAGACCTGTTTTAGACAGGCAACATATAAACTACAGTCAAAACGCAACTAAAATAGAAGTAGAGTTATAAAACGATAAATCAAGGTGCCATAAAACAAGGTAAAATACTTGAAACAAGAACATATTTGTTTTGATGTTTCTATTGACCTTATCAAAAGTTTACAGCACCCTAAAGAAATCAAGGTGGACAACTTCAGTTCTTGTTGCAAGGTGCTCCATGTTGCATGAGCTGAGTAGGAAAAGGCCTTGTTGCCAAGTTCAGTCCACACTGAGGGAACGCTGCAGGTAATGATGTTCTGAGAGCGCACGCTGTAACTGCACTGACGGCGTTACAAGTGGGAGGAGATATAAGAAGGTAGCAGACCAAGGAGTGATTTATAGATGAAGATGAACCATTGTGAGAGCCTTAGTGTAAATAATGATGACCAGCTGACTAAGGAGTACAGAGTGCAGTGATGGTACGGTAGACAGCATTCAACATCTGCAAGCAGCTGGCAGGGGCATTCATGTAAATAATGTCACCATAGTTAATGGCCTGTAGGAAGGTTTTCATTCAACCTTTATTTAGACGGGTAAATCCCATTGAGCCTCGAGGACTCATTTACAAGAGAGACCTGATTTAGTTGAAGGTAGTGGTTACTAGGTGTTTTCTGGCATTCAGAGTTGAGCAAGATCTATTTTTGAAAATGAAACCCAGTTTTAATTTCAGTTTCTTTGTCTAGTTTTCAATATGTGGTTTAAAAATGCATCGACCAAAATTCCCAAGTATTTGTACGTATCCACAAGCTCTGTAGGAACACCATGCATGGATGAGATAGGAAGAGTTGCTGACAATTTTCTGTTGGAAAACGACATCCCTTTGGTTTTATTGGCATTTAGCACCAGTTTGAGATGGAATAAGTCCGACTGATTGGTGTCAAATGCAGACTGTAGAAGCTGGAAAAATTGGCAACTGTGTTAGCTCGACAATAAACAACTGTATCATCAGCATAGAGATGCAAGGATGCGTCAGGAATGTTTTCACCTACATTACTTATATAAATTGTAAAAAGAGTGGGTCCTAAAACTGAGCCTTGTGGCACACCATTGGTGACCATTGGGTAGCTAGATGAAGTCCCGTTATGTCGAACGCATTGCCTCTGACCTGAGAGATAGTTTTGAGAACCAGCCAAATGAGTTCAAATGAAAATGTAAATTTGACGCTGCTACCAGCAAACCGCTTGCACATTTCTACAAAAACAAACAGTTCAAAAGTGCTGAACTCCACCTCGTAGTGCTCGTTCACTTAGTTCACTTAGTGTCTTGTTAGATTAGGGACCAATTATTGTCTCGGGTTTCTCTCTCGCCGCACGGCAGCTTGTCTGAACAAGAAATGGGCGAACAGCGACTTGATGCTTGTTGCTCTGTTGTGTAAGGTTTAAAATGGTAAAGGTGAGTTTCTCTGTTGGATTTTGTCACTTGTTATCTGTTGTTCCGTTACCACAGAGGTTCTGTTACTTTTAATAAAGGCAGGTAATTATTGTTCCAGTTTCCAGTGTTTTTGGTTGCTTCATGTTTGATGTTCAAACAGCCTCTGGTGTGAAGGATCAAGTTCAGACTGCGGGGCAAGAAAAAGAACATTTTCTTTTTTTTTTTTTGTATCTGTGTTGCAACTTCCTGTTTTTGTTCTAATTTGTCACGTCCTCTCCGTTTCCTTAATTTTTCAGAGACTTTACCTGCAGCGGTTGGAGGAACTTCGCTGCGTCCTCGAGCAGTCACATTTTTTCAAGACGCACGAGGTGAGACGCTCGCTTTTCTCCGACCGTTCCCCGAACGAACCCATCCTCCTTTTATTTTAGATTTGTTGGGATCTTCTGACGAGTCTGTCTGGCTTCTCCTTCGTAGGTTGTGGGGAGCTCTCTTCTGTTCGTGCACGACGCCTCCGGAAAGGCCAAAGTTTGGATGATCGACTTTGGGAAGACGGTTCCCCTGCCGGCCCCGATGACCCTGGACCACAGGACTCACTGGGTTGAAGGCAACAGGGAGGAAGGCTACCTGTGGGGACTGGACAACCTCATAGACATCTTCAGCAGCATGCTCCTCAATACTCCTTAAGAGGGAGACAAAACTAAGAAAGAAAAAGAAAACTGAGTGTTTTTTTTTTAAGGGACGCATGTTTGAGCCTTTCTGAAACTTTTTCTTTTTTAAAGATCCCTGCAATGATCCAAGTATCAACCTGCGTTCGAAGGTGGAAACAAAAGGACTTCTGTTGTGAACGAGCAAACGAAAACGTCTGATAACACGCGTTATATTTGGAGATCCAGGGGAACACGAGCACAAACGGTGGAGGAAAGACATGTTTTATCACATGAGTCAGTTTCTTCACATGAACTGTGGTTTGTTTTCTGGGAGTTAGCCTTTTTCCATCGCTCGCCTCCCTCAGCAGAGCCCTCTCCTGGCTGCACACAGCTGTTGCCTCGCAGCCGTGAAATGGACCCACGGCTCAAGAAGCAACGAGAAACTTGTTTAGCTATGGACTACTTTGGACTTTTAAGCGTACGGTAACACTAAAACATTGGTATGACCAAGTGTTGACTAACTCAGTGTGTAAATAGAGCTTAATTTAATCCTTTTTATTTTTGGCTGTGGGATGACTTTTCTATGTTCCTACAGTTGGATGTGCCTAACGATTTTTTTTATAACACGTTTGATCATTCCAGTGCAAAGGACTTGCTCCAAAGAGTTCAGCCCAAGTATGAACTGATATAATCCCAACGGTTTGCCTCTTAATTGAAACAATACTTTTTTTTTCCCATTTAATTGTATAGTAAGCAGCTCAGAGTGTTTCTTGTTGCACTGTTGATCTTCAGAAAGCCATTGAACAAAAACAAGCAGTGCCTCTATTTCAAGTACTGGTTTACAGTTTAACACAAATTGAATTTGGCGTTCAATTGTCTCTAATTTTGTTTTTCTTGCAGAGTTTTTACAGTAAAGCCATCGTGTGAAGAGTCAAATGAAGCTGGAGTGGACTGGATTATTTAAAATGATGCGTCTCTTGGGGCTTTTTAAACGCTTCACGCAATTATGACGCTGGAAATTTTTAGCATTTAAAGAACATTTTTTAACTTGATAAAAAAAATTAAAAAAAAGATTTTTCTAACAAGGATGTTGCTGAAAGCTGCACTTAAGAACAATAATCTGGGTAACTGGGGGCGTTCTTTTAGTATTCAACACAGAGGTTACTCAAAAAACACTGTTCTGAGTTCAGTCTTCCAGATGTTCGACGGTGTCGAGCAGTTCTTTTGGGGTTTACGTGCGCGAGTTTTCCACTCTGTACACGTTTTATTGTAACGCAGCACATATTTGATTTCTGATATAATTTAAACTCTTGATTTTTCATTTCCAAAAGGCAAACATACCAGAGGGAAGGAGGGCGTATCAGTGTTTACAAAGTATTATCGTTTGCTCCACAGATTCTCTTTGTGTTCGACGAACTGACACGTTTTCAAACTGGGTGCTGCTTTCTGAGCAAGGAAACTGGAAACTAACCATGTTTTATATTTGAGGAATGCCGTTTTAAGTTTCAAAACCTCATTAACAAATCCCTGCTTTGTTCATGTTGAGAACTGCAATAAACTGGAAAGAATCATTTTCAGGGTGTTTCTTTTGTTCAGCTCGGACTCTGCAAAGCCCACACTGACGGGGTTCACTCAGGAAATCAGGAAACCTGGAAAGACTTTCACATTTTCCAGACGGGAACATCTCAGTAAATTTGAGAAAATCATCAACAGTAAGGGAAACTCAGGTGAAAAGACGATCTGAGATTTTATATTTTTGTACAGAGTCCACGTTCTGCTTCTACGGTGTATATGTAGCCTTACTGACTGACTGGTGCCTTAATACTGTGAATGCTTATTCATTCACACTATTGTAATACTGTTTATATTTACTGTTATGGATTCTTTAAACTATTACCGTACATTTCTCGGCATCTCTCGTCCCCCAGTTTTCAAGCTATTTCAACAAATCAAATCCAAACATTCAGCTTTTTCAGGACAGTCCTGCTGACTTTTGGTATTGGTGCAACTTTAGCTTTTTGGAATATTTAGCCTTTTCTTCCACTTTTTTCTCATAGAAAATGAATTAAGCTCATTTTGCGTCCAACTCTTTAAATGTGTTTATAACCGTTTACTGCTCTTTTCACATTTTGTTCTGGCTCAGCTTCTTTCAGCTTTCTGCAAATAAAAAAAAAATCAGCTACATTCAGTTGGTTTTTGTTCAGCTGTTTTGTGCACCGTTCTGCTTTATTCTTATAACTACAACATTTGTGCTTTGTGTAACTTTCTGCTAATTTCTTATTATGCTCCTTACAGTGTATTTCAGCTACTATTTAGCTAATTTGAGCTTTTCCAGCTAATTCCACATTTTTTGCACTCATTTTGTTTCAGCCTAATTCAGCAAAAATGTGCTCTCCACTTCATTCTGGTAATTTCAGCCTTTTTTTTTTTAGCTACTATTCAGCTGTTACTTTGTGTGCAAATTTCAACTCGTTTTAAAATAATCTCCACTTGTTTGTGCTAATTTCTGCTTCTTTCAGCCTAACTGGGCACAACTGTGCTCTCTCCGTGTCCTAGTAGTTTAAGCCTTTTTCTGCTTTCTCAGCTTCTTTTCAGCTATTTTGTGCTAATTTCAGCTTTTTTAAAGCAAATTTCCTTATGTTCATTTCTGCTTATTTAAACCAAATTCAGCAAATATATGTTCTTTCTGCTTTATACTGCCAATTTAGGCTCGTTATTCAATTTCAGCTACATTTCAGCATGTTTTTCAGCAAGTTCTTCAGCAATAAGCATTCACACTGCATTTTTGCAGGAACTGCAATTTCTCTAGTTAACTGTTAGGAATGATTGCTGTATTGTATTATATATATATATATATATATATATATATATATATATATATATATA